TCGGCATAAAGGCAACTTCACACCTTATGAAACATATTTTCATATCAATCAATGTTCTTAATAATGTTAGTTTGTGTTTACTTCGGTTACAAAACAACCAACTGATTTTTTATTTTTTCCTGAAAGAAGAAGCTGTCCTCCCACCAGGCGGACCGGTTAAGAACGAGGCTTGGCCCAGATTAACTGCAGGAGGACGTCGAAGAGAGATGTTGAACAAATTGTTTAAAATACCCCTCAGTTGTTTTATTCAATCCATTCAAGTTCAGTTAATGTGTTTTAATAGTGTGTTCAGTTTAATTATCAGTGTTTGTGTGACATACAGTTTGTGGTGTTGAATAAATAAATAAAAATTAAAATGTCTTCATTTTCAACTTTAGTGTTCACGCAATATGTTTAGCATCATGTTAAATTTGAATTACATCATGTCCAGATAGCTTCATTTAGCTCGGAGATTCATTATATCTTGCACACTAACATAAATACTGTTTATTATTATTAAACTGTTATTATTTAGCACATTTAGATGTTATAGTGCAGTGCGGCGTGTGCACGTGCCACTTTCTATAAACAGTGATATTAGAACTGGATCAGATTGTGTCTCTTCCAACACAGATGTCGGTCACAGCACCTGGAATCTGATGTATATTAACTACAAGATTAAAATATATTCCAAAAATCGTAGTTCTGAAAGCAGTGTATCCGCCGCCATGTTGATAGAAATATAGCGTCTGTCCGCGCGTGCATGCGTGCATATGGTTTAACACAAAGCCTCAGCGGGAGATGTTTACATTATCAGCGGGGGGTCAGCTAAAAACCTCCACTCTGGAAGGTGGGTTCAGAAACCTCTGGATTCAATGACGGGGGCCACTGGTGTCGTGTAAATGATCAGCAGAACCGCAGAGAGAAAGCTGCGGATGCTCTCAAAATACGTTCCATGTAAACGGCCCCTGAATCACTTCTTGGTCTGCTGCCTTCATACATCTCCTCCTACATGTCTCTGCGTGAGTGCAGCTACAGCGTGCGCTCTCAGGACATTATTACCTGCATTGTTCCCTCAGTGCGACCTGAACCAGGCAAAAAGGCCTTCTCCTACTCCACTCCTGTTTCCTGGAATATTTTACAAAAAGATCTGAAGCTCTCGACCTTGACCTCTCTAAGTGGCTTTAAGAATCTGTTGGACTCCTGGCAGGGACCAATGCAGACATGTTCCTGTTTTTAGTTTTCTACATTTGCCTTAGAATCTATCTGTTTTTGTGTTACTTTTCTTTTCTTTTACTTTTTTTAATTTTATTTTTTCAATTTTGTTGGCCCACCTGACTAAACAAACAAGCACATATCAGGACCCACTGCAGTTTGCTTACCGGTGTGGACTTGGAGTTGAAGATGCCATCATACACCTGCTTCAGCAAACTCACTGTCATCTAGAAAAGGCAGAGAGCACTGTGAGTCATATTCTTTGATTTCTCCTGTGCATTTAACACAATCCAGCCTGATTTGCTTTGTCAGAAACTCCAGAAGACTCAGGTGGAGGCCTCAACAATTGCCTGGATCAAAGACTACCTGACAAACAGACCACAGTTTGTCAGACTGAAGGGTTGTGTGTCTAACCACATGGTCAGTAGCTCAGGAGCACCACAGGGGACTGTACTCTCACAATTCCTTTTCACTCTGTACACCTCAGATTTCCAGTATAAAACAGACTCCTGTCATCTGCAGAAATATTCTGATGACTGCAGTAGTCGGGTGTTTCAGAGATGGACAAGAAGCTGAGTACAGGGAACTGGTGGACCGCTTTGTGGCATGGTGTGGAAACTATCATCTCATCTTGAATGTGAACAAAACAAAGGAGATGATCGTAGATTTCAGGAGAATCAGGAACAGGTCCAACCACATTTCCATCATGGGAGAAGAAGTGGAGAAGTATAAATACCTTGGGGTTCACCTGGACAACAGACTGGACTAGAAATGCAACAGTGAAGCCGTCTACAAGAAGGAACAGAGCATACTGTACTTCTTGAGGAAGCTGAAGTCCTTCAACGTTTGCAGCAAGATGCTGCATATCTTCTATAAGTCTGTTGTAGAGAGCGCTATCTCTTCTGCCATCATCTGCTGGGGTAGCAGCACCAGAGCGAGTGACTCAAAAAAGATCAACAAGTTCATAAAGAAGGCTGGCTCAGTTCTGGGGACTCCTCTAGAACCTTTGGAGATGATTGTTCAAAGAAGGCTTATTCATAAAATGATGAACATTATAGACAACCCTCAGCACCCTCTTAATCAGACTGTCATACAACAACAAAGTGTCTTCAGTCAGAGGCTTCTTCAAATCCGTTGTAGGACAGACAAGAGATCCTTCCTGCCCACAGCCATCAGCATCTATAACAACTCATTAATGAAACCAGGATGATGAGTTACCACAACATATAATTTCCCTCTGCGATTAATAAATTATTTTTGAATTGAATTGAATATCTTTTTGAATTCACAGATTGGAGTCTTTTATTCCATTATTTTTTTTTCATCCCCGTACATAGTTTTTTTTTTTTTTTTTAACAATTTTAAAACCATGTCTGTATTTCCTTTCGATAGTGGCTCACTGTGCGTCGTCAAGGCAGATCATCTCCCACTGGAAGAACTGCACGAGGCACGACTGTCCAGTTTGCCTCCCACTAAAGAATGCAGGGGACAAGAGGAACCCGCAGTGTGAGTGTCTGTATCCGACCAAAACAATATCGCTAAACATTTAGTTTTTTATTGTCTTAAACAGATCTATGTGTTTATAGTTGACTGACTGCTTAAAAACTCAAAACTCTTAAACTTACAGATGTTACAGCTGGTTATTGGAAAACCAAAATTGTCCACTTTGACAGTGGAACTGGAACAAACATCCACTACATTTTAGTGACTTCTTATGTTTTTGTGACACATATACAGAACAAGTCATTATTTTGAGATTGCATCAAACACATATGATAATTGACTAATCATCTGTTTCTTGATGTAACAGCTTTGCTTGGTGGGGCCACTGCAGGACTTGGAAGTTCACTTGCAGCAGTACCTGGCAGCCAGTCAAGTGCTCCCAACCTCAACCCCCCAAGCCAGATTGACCCCAGCTCAATAGAAAGAGCCTATGCTGCCCTGGGGCTCACCTACCAGGGGAACCAGATTCAGACCCAGACTGCCCAGCCCAACATTCCCAACCAGGGGGGGCAGGCTGGCATGAGGCCTCTGAACCCAATAGGTAGGTAATACTATAATGTGTTTATTTACTTGCTTCTAGAGTTGCAGTTATCAGAGACTTCAAAAATTGAGGGCTGTATCAGATAATCCATCAATTAATCAAGTATGAGACTATGCTCATTTCCCAACCTTCTATTTTCACTTGGACTTTCAAAAACATTGCTGGCCCTTTTCTCTCTGTGCTTACTCTGTTTAATGTGCAAAATGCATGTGCACTGTAAAAGATTAACTCATTGGTTTATCAATTATTTTCTACAACTCCTTTCCATTTGTCTCAATGTTTGTTAAGCGTGACTTGGTTTTAAAGCCATGGTGTCAAAATGTCACAAAGGCTCTAGTAATATCACTAATGGCTGTTTTTAGTTTGATTAATTTTTCTACTGCTTTTCCTCCCAATATTGATAATTAACTATTTAATTTTTGTTTTGTTTTTAAAAGTCAATTTAGGCATTTATTGTATATAAAAATAAATAAGTAAACCAGGACCTGCAGGGGAAAAACGGAAGGAATCTGCAGGGGAATCAGATCTTGATTGTAGAACACAACCCGACATCACCGGTCAGGAGCAGTGTTGTTCAATAAAACATGAGTCCAGATTCTGGTCTAAATGTTTCCTCAAACATTTATTCAGTAGAAAATGTAGTAGATGGACAACTGTCTAACTTCACAAGAGTTCCTTCAGCAGCTTAAACTCAGTGTTTTGTTTTTCATCGCTTGTCTCGAACCTCAGTGCATCACAACTCTGCTGCTGGTCTTAAACAATAATAAAAATTGCAGAATGAACCAACCTTTTGTCAGTTAGCTTGAAATACTCTCATACTAAGACTCACTGGGTCTTTAAAAACAGTAATTTTAACCAGGGCTGGTCAACATTTGTTTTTCAGAAGTCCAAGATATTTAAACCAATCGAAGGGCCACATAGAGAACTAGAAAATAAATTTTCTTCACAACTGATAATCTGAAAGATTTTTTCTGACTTTTTCTTTTTGTAGCACAGTCAGCATGCTTAATAAAAATATGCCTCTGCGCTATTCTTTAGGAATATAAGACAAACTTTCAGTAAACTGGTTCTTGTGACAATGTTACCCTAAAATAAGCAAATAAAAAAAACAGTTAACTTTTCCTTTTGGAGTCTTTAATGTTCTGTCTAGTTCTGGAAACAGGACTTAAAAATTGTGAACAAAACCCCGAGATACTTGAACTCCTCCACTTAAGGCTGAACCTCACCCTTGACCTGAAGAGAGCAATCCACCCTTTTCTGACTGAGGACCGTGGCCTCAGATTTGTAGGTGCTGATTCTCATCCCAGCTGCTTCACACTAAGCTGCAAAACGCTCCAATGAGAGCTGAAGATCACGGCACGATGACGTCAACAGGACCACATCATCTGTAAAGAGCAGAGATGGAATCCTGAGGCCACTGAACCGGAATCCCTCCGTCAGCTGGCTGCACCGAGAAATTCTGTCCATAAAGTTATGAATAGAGTCTGTGACAATGGGCAGCCCTGGCAAAGTCCAACTCCCACCCTGAAGGGGTCCATCTTGCCGGCAACGCAAACCAAACTCTCGCACCGCTTGTATAGGGACCGAACAGCCCATAACAATGGGCCCCCAATCCCATACTCATGGAGCCCCCCCACAGTGTATCCCGAGGAACACAGTTGAATGCCTTCTCCAAGTCCACAAAACACATGTAGACTGGATGGACAACTCAAATGACCCCTCAAGGACCCTAGTGAGGGTAAAGAGCTGATCCAGTGTTCCACGGCCAGGACAGAACCTACATTGTTCCTCCTGTGTCTGAGGTTCAACCAACGATTGGACTTGCTTCTCCAGTACCCCTGAATAGACGTTACCAGAGAGGCTAAGGAGACTTATGTCTGCTTATTCAGGGTCACTGCCCCTGATGTCCGTGCAATGTTGCAAAGGTGTGTCAACCAAGACAGCCCCACAACATCCAGATCCTTAAGGAAATCATGGTGAATCTCATCCACGCCCCAAGCCCTGCCGGCATGGAGCTTTTTAACTACCTCAGCTACGGTTATGGACAGACCAAGCCCGAAATCTCTGGACTCCGTTTCCTCCATGGAAGACGTACTGGTGTGATTGAGAATGTCTGAGAAGTATTCCTTCCACCTCCCGATGACATCACTGGTTGAGGTCAGCAGCACCCTACCTACACTGAACACAGAGTTAGTAAAGTGCTGCTTTCCCCTCCTCAGCCTCCTGATGGTTTGCCAGAATCGTCTAGGAGCCGACCGAGAGTTTTTATCCAAAGCCTCACCAAACTCTTCCCATATCTGAGTTTTTGCCCCAGCAACAGCCAAGGCTGTGAAGCGCTTGGCCCTCCGGTACTCCTCAGTTGCCTCTAGAGTCCCACTGGCCAACAAGGCCCGGACAAACTCCTTCTTCAGCTTGACAGCCTTCCTAACCCGGAGTGTCCACCACCGAGTTTGAGCAGGGCCACCACGAGAAGCATCAACAACCTTGCGGCCACAACTAAAGGCAGCCACCTCAACAATTGAGGTGCGGAACACGGCCCACTTGGACTCTGTGTCTCCCCGCCTCAGCTGGGATGCGGTTAAAGTGCTCCCGGATGACATAAAAAAAAATTTTCTCCCTCCTCCTTTTCTGTACAAGTTCACCAAACACAACACACACCTCATCTTATAACAACCTCACTCAGCACATCTGACAAGTTGGGTAAAAATTTGGGGTGTGCCCCGATTTTCTTAAATTTGGGAAATCGTAAATCGTCCGATACTTGCATGAGAAACCAATTTTACTGATTTTTATTTTATTTTATTTATTTATTTTTATTTTTTCATTTTTAACAACATTTATGTAAACTTAATTTATATTTCAGAGCACAACCTCATGGCCAGTTAAAACAAGTTGTTTCTATGATATTGTTCAAGGATGTGTTTGTCAACAAAATAAGATTGGAAAGTTAAGGTGCATTGTGGCCTTATAACACCTGACAGTGTCGCTTATAAAACAAAATTGGTATCGTCCAAAATCAGAATCGGCAGGTCAGACTTTTTAGAAATCGATGAACGGCCAGAAAACTGCAAGTGGTGCACCCCTAGTAAAAATCCAATACTTTTAAAGCTATCTGACAACCCTGCCTGGCATGGAAACTACAGCGTTTTTATGTTAACCTTCTCTTTTTTTGTTTAGTCATCCCAATAAACTTTGAAGAAATACTGTTTCCAGAGGTTGCTCTCATGTAAACAGCCTTGTTTCATCGCTAAAACCATTGCAGGATACAATCCAGCTAATTATAACACTCATTTAGAATGTGTGTGAAGCATACATAAAAAATATTTTATTCACAGTGGGAATGTTTAATCAGAACATTAAACTCTAAACAAAATAAGAGAAAAGTTACCTCCACACATCTGACATTGTTGCTCCTCTACCAGCTGACTGCTTTACTGAGAGGTGAACATCACACTGCTGAAAAATGGTACTGGTACTGTTGTACTGGAACACTTGAGTACTTGTTCACTGTATCGGACCGATACTGGTCTTGGTGCATCCCTGTTTCTTTGTGTTTCTATTAACTGGGAGACAGGACAGGTATAAATTAACATTCTGTTTGACTATGTCTAGGTGTGAATCCTATGGGAGTCAATGGAGGTGTGGGTGCTGCCCATCAAAACCAACAAGCCAGTTTGCTGCAGGACACCATGATGCATCTTAATGTGAACAACCAAAGGTAGGAAACGGCACAAATGCCACAAAAAAATTTTTTTCACAAGAAGCTCCTTTATTTCAGGATTTTTTTCACTTCTACAATCAACTTTGAAAATGTACGTTTTTAAAATATATGTGATTGTTGGTTTCCTCTCACAGTCTCATGAATGATGCTGGTGGGGTTGGGTCCATGCCCATAGCAGCCCCTCCCTCTGCCACAGGCAAGAAGAAACTCTGGCACGAGGACATTACACAAGATCTTCGAAATCACTTGGTGCACAAGCTGTATGTACCAACAAAACACTTCCCAAATGTGTTGTTTTTACCTTTTATTTTTATGAACTTGTTTATCAAAAACACCTGCAGCTGTAAATCATCTTGGGTTTCCCAAAAAGGTTTTCAAAATAACGTTTGATTGAAGGAACCCAGCTGTGGTTTGGTTTTCTCATTGCTGCCTTTGTTAAACAACTCAAGTTTTCAAACCCAGTATGACTGCAAACACCATGTTGATCAGTTGCAAATGGCAGACATACCCAGTAACCACTTCTTGGAGGTTGTGAGCCATGTGTACAGCTCATACTGTAGTTGTTGAATTGAAACCTCCTGAGTTGGAACAAGCTTGGTAATTTCATAATTGGCCATCCTTCCCTCAAATTTTTCAGTTTTTTCTCAAAAAATGAGGCTTTTAAAATTTGCATTATACTAATTGTGTGAATGCCTTTATAGGCATACCTTTATACAGGTCCTTCTCAAAAAATTAGCATATTGTGATAAAGGTCATTATTTTCCATAATGTAATGATAAAAAGGAAACTTTCATATATTTCAGATTCATTGCACACCAACTGAAATATTTCAGGTCTTTAATTGTTTTAATACTGATGATTATGGCATACAGCTCATGAAAACCCAAAATTCCTGTCCCAAAAAATTAGCACATCATGAAAAGGTTCTCTAAACAAGCTATTAACCTAACCACCTGAATCAACGACGTAACTCTAAACACCTGCAAAAGATTCCTGAGGCTTTTAAAAACTCCCAGCCTTGTTCATTACTCAAAACCGCAATCATGGGTAAGACTGCCGACCTGACTGCTGTCCAGAAGGCCATCATTGACACCCTCAAGCAAGAGGGTAAGACACAGAAAGAAATTGCTGAACGAATAGGCTGTTCCCAGAGTGCTGTATCAAGGCATCTCAGTGGGAAGTCTGTGGGAAGGGAAAACTGTGGCAGAAAACGCTGCACAACGAGAAGAGGTGACCGGACCCTGAGGAGGATTGTGGAGAAGGGCCGATTCCAGACCTTGGGGGACCTGCGGAAGCAGTGGACTGAGTCTGGAGTAGAAACATCCAGAGCCACCGTGCACAGGCGTGTGCAGGAAATGGGCTACAGGTGCCGCATTCCCCAGGTCAAGCCACTTTTGAACCAGAAACGGCGGCAGAAGCGCCTGACCTGGGCTACAGAGAAGCAGCACTGGACTGTTGCTCAGTGGTCCAAAGTACTTTTTTCGGATGAAAGCAAATTTTGCATGTCATTCGGAAATCAAGGTGCCAGAGTCTGGAGGAAGACTGGGGAGAAGGAAATGCCAAAATGCCAGAAGTCCAGTGTGAAGCACCCACAGTCAGTGATGGTCTGGGGTGCCATGTCATCTGCTGGTGTTGGTCCACTGTGTTTTATCAAGGGCAGGGTCAATGCAGCTAGCTATCAGGAGATTTTGGAGCACTTCATGCTTCCACCTGCTGAAAAGCTTTATGGAGATGAAGATTTCATTTTTTAGCACGACCTGGCACCTGCTCACAGTGCCAAAACCACTGGTAAATGGTTTACTGACCATGGTATTACTGTGCTCAATTGGCCTGCCAACTCTCCTGACCTGAACCCCATAGAGAACCTGTGGGATATTGTGAAGAGAAAGTTGAGAGACGCAAGACCCAACACTCTGGATGAGCTTAAGGCCGCTATCGAAGCATCCTTGGCCTCCATAACACCTCAGCAGTGCCACAGGCTGATTGCATGAAGCAATCCTTTTGCATGAAGCAGTCATGCAAAAGGATTCCCGACCAAGTATTGAGTGCATAACTGAAGATGATTATTTGAAGGTTGTTTTTTGTATTAAAAACACTTGTCTTTCATTGGTGGGATGAAATATGCTAATTTTTTGGGACAGGCATTTTGGGTTTTCATGAGCTGTATGCCATAATCATCAGTATTAAAACAATTAAAGACCTGAAATATTTCAGTTGGTGTGCAATGAATGTGAAATATATGAAAGTTTCATTTTTATCATTACATTATGGAAAATAATGACCTTTATCACAATATGCTAATTTTTTGAGAAGGACCTGTAGGCATTTACACTATTGTGATTCACTTTTTTCCGTACGTTTTTCGGCAGCTAACTACTCCCACAGTTTTTGTGCTATTTCAACAAATCATACATCAAAATATTCAGCTGTTTCAGGACATGTCTGCTATGACTTTTGGTATTGGTGCAACTTTAGCTTTTTGAGATATTTAGCCTTTTCTGGCATATTTGCTCTCATTGAAAATGAATGGAGCTCATTTTACATCCTTCATAACTTTTGATTCATTTATAACCAGGTACTACTACTTTCACATTTAGACCTGGTTAAGGTTCTTTCAGCTTCCTTGCACAAAATATTAAACAAATTTCAGCTAGTTCAGCTAATTTCAGCTGTTTTGTGGTCCTTTCAGCTTCATTCTGCTAAAATAAACATTTTTGTGCTTCTTCAAACTTATTTATGCTAATTTATGCTTGTTCTGCTCCTTTCAGCTTATTTTTGGATGTTTCAGCCATTTTTGCTATTTCAGTTAGCATTTAGCTGTTTTCATGCTAATTTCATCTTTATCAGCTAATTCAACATTTTTTTGCAATCATTTAAACTTTTGTCAGCCTAATTCAGTAAAAACATGTTCCTCCTACATCCTACTGGTAATTGAAGCTTCTTTCTGCTTGTTGTGTGAATGCCATGAAAGCATTCACACTATTGCATGGCATTCACACTATTGCTTTTCTGTTTAATCATTATTCCGTACGTTTTTTGGAAGCTATCTACTCCCACAGGTTTAGTGCTATATGAACATATCATATATCAAACCGTTCAGTTTTTTCAGGACAATATGGCTATGACTTTTTTTATTGATTCAACTTTAGCTTTTGGAGATATTTAGCCTTTTCTGCCATTTTGGCTGTCATAGAAAATGAATGGAGCTCTCTATAAACAGACCAACACCGCCATCTGCCTGTTTTCAAAATACCCTACGCATTAACCTTACTTTGGCCTAGAAGCATGACATTTGGTACACTTGTCCAAATCTCCAAGATGGAGCATGCTGAAGGGGCGGGGCCAGACCTGAAAGTTTGACCTCTCGCCATGAAAACTGAAATGCTAATAGTTCATAAATGAAAACTGTCTGATACATCAAACCTTCAGTGATTGATCCACATCAGGTCCCCTGCAAGACTGAATGGTCAAATCATGACATCACTTAAGCCATGCCCCCTAACAACAGAAAGTGCAAAGTTTTACATTTAACATCCCAAGCTGACCCCTGTGATCTAATCAGCATGAGAGTGTGTCCAGTGACCGAAGACATGTTGGTGTCACTTGCTTTCTAACACTGACAGTTTTGGGTGGAGCATGTGGGTGGCGTGGCGTGGCGAAGTAAATCTTAACGCAGTCGCAATACGTTTGGCTCTAAAATCCACAGATTTCAGCCAAGGTGCCTCAAAATCAGTATGAAAGATCATTATCCACCCATTGAACAGGCATCCATGATAAGTGGCCAATAGGAAGCCAGAAACCCTGCCTTCAGGTCTGGAAACTCAGAGGAGCTGAGTAGGACAAGAAAAGAGCTGGTTGCTGGTATTAAGAGGGCCAAGGGCACATATGCAAAGAGGATCGAGGGTCAATTCATCTCACAAGACCCTCGGAGCATGTAGAGGGGCATTAAGTGCATAACAGATTATAAAGGAAGGAGTGAACAATGCCCCAAAGACCCATCTCTGCCTGATGCCCTCAACAAGTTCTATGCACGCTTTGAAGACCTGAACAGACCACCCAGCACCAGACTCGCCTCACCACCGGATGAAGAGCATCTCAGCGTGACCTCAGCAGAAGTAAGGAGTACCTTCAGGAGGATTAATCCGCACAAGGCAACTGGCCCAGACAACATCCCCGGAAAAGTGTTGAAGGAATGTGCTGATCAGCTCTGTGAGGTGCTGGCAGACATCTTTAACACCTCACTTACCCTGGAGACAGTTCCCACCTGCCTGAAGACTGCCACCATCATCCCAGTCCCAAAAAGCTCTACAGTGACTGGTCTGAATGACTATCGGCCAGTGGCCCTCACCCCGATAGTCGCTAAATGCTTTGAAAAACTGGTCATGACTCGCATCAAAACAACCATCAACATCAACGAGGACCCTCATCAGTATGCATACCGTGAGAACCGATCAACAGAGGATGCAATCTCCTCTGTGGTCCACACTGCGCTCAACAACCTGGAGCAGAAAAACTCTTACGTCCGTATGCTCTTTGTGGACTTCACATCCGCCTTCAACACCATGATCCCCCAAACCCTGATGGACATACTATCCACACTAGGACTAAGCCCCTCCATTTGCAACTGGGTACTAGACTTTTTAACAAACAGACCACAGTTAGTGAAGATCCACAACCTCTCCTCCTCCACCATAACCCTCAGCACTGGCTCTCCTCAGGGATGTGTGTTGAGCCCCCTCCTGTATACTCTGCTCACGTATGATTGTGCAGCTACCCATCCAGGCTGTCACATTGTAAAGTTTGCAGATGATACAGCGTTGGTGGGATGCATCACAAACAATGATGAGTCCAGCTACAGGCAAGAGATAGAACACCTGGAGAGCTGGTGCAAAGAGAATAACCTTCACATCAATGTGAAGAAGACAAAGGAGATGAGTGTGGACTTCAGAAAGAACAAAAACATCCACACCCCCCTGAACATAAGAGGATCTGCGGTGGAAGTGGTCTCCAGATACAAGTACTTGGGTGTACACATGAATGACAACCTCAGCTGGAGCAACAACACCACCAGCCTGATCAAGAAAGCTCATCAGAGACTCTACTTCCTCAGACGGCTGAGGCGAGCTGGTCTGGGAAGCTCAGTCCTCACCTCCTTCTACAGGTGTGCAGTGGAGAGCATCCTGTGCTCGAGCATCAATGTGTGGCATGGAGGCTGCACAGCTGCAGAAAGAAAAGCTTTGCAGAGAGTGGTGAAGGCTGC